TGCTCTCGAGGAAGGAAGGTTCTGGGGCTCTGCAGGTTGGGGTGGAGAAGGGACCTGGAAGGGGTGCCAGCCTTCAGTTTGGATCAATACTTGGGAGATGCTGCTCTGGAGGGAGGTGGGCAGGATGGAATGTGGCTGGAAGTCTGAGGGCTGCCCAGAGACCCTCCCTTTCTGGGCAGGCTGCCTGGAGCCAGGGCCACTGCTGAGAGAGCAGCCACCAGGTGGACTGGTGACCTGAGTGGGAAGGGGCAGTCTGATCCCATTCTCCTCAATGGGGTTGGGGTGGGTGGGCGCTCGAGGCCTTCAACCCATACATGCCCACCCGGCAAGCTTGAGGCCAGCACCAGTTGCTGTCTTGAAACAGGGGAGGCAGGTGGCTGAGGAAGAGAGGGCGAACAGAAGCTGTCCCGGGTGGAATGGCAGAGATGGTGGGCTCTAGAATAGCAGGGGCGGAAGGGACTGCATTTCAGTCTGGAGTCCTTGGCTTATCAACTGTGTGACTGTAGAGACGGGGCTGCTCTTCACCAAGCCTCAGTTCCCTCCTCTGTAACATGGGGGACTGACCACACTCATCCCCTGGTTGCTTTGAGGGTTATATGGGGTAAATTCCCAAGAGTGGCTTTTGGCTGAGAGGGAAGGCTCAGTAAGTAGGGCTGTTTAAACAAAACAGAACAAGTAGCAGTTGCTCTTTTTACGGATACGTATCACGCTTTCTGCGATCCATGGACATGATCTCCAGAGGGCAGATGCGGAAACAGAGGCTGAGAAAAGTCCACTGAGTTGGTCATCTAGGGCGAGGCTTGAGGTGTGTCCGTGTGGTTGTGCAGTGTGTGTGTGTGTGTGTGTATAGTGATGGGTCATGTAGCAGATGTCTGTGGAAGCTGGGAGTGTGGCCTGGGGGGAAAACTAGGAAGCCCCTCTAACTGGCCTTCTAGAGCCCCGAGAGGGTCTGTGAGGCTGCAGTGGGGGAGCTGCTGGCTGTGGGATGGGCAGGGGCCAGGGGAGACCCTTGGGACTTATCCTCAATGACTCCACCCCTTGGTAGGTCCCTGCCAGCTTCTTGAGAGAGGAGGCTGGTAAGGTAGGCAGGGACTAGGTGGTTAGAGGCTCTGGGCCATGGAGATGGGGTCACCGTGTGCTGAGGGTGAGCGGGCAGCAGGCTCGGCCCCACTGAAGACAGTGCTAGGACCTTGTCTCAGACCCCACTAGGCATGTGCTGCCTCTTGCGCAGTTTCTGGTCTGGGGAGTGACTGCTCCTCAGGGCAGGGGGAAGGCCTGGTGAGGGGTGGTTGGGGTCTTAGTGGGGGACACTGCCCTGGAGAGGATGCTGTGCATGGGCTGCAGGGAAGGCAGGCAGAGCCACCAAAGGCGCCTTCTCTGCAGAGGGGACAGTCCTGCCACGCGACAGCCCTCTTGCCAAGCGAGAGTTAGTCACCTGCATGTCTTTCACCCAGCATCCTCAGCACTCCTGGTCACGGTGCCAGGAGAACAGCTCTGACTGGCTGGGAGGCCTTGAAGGGCAGCCGTGGGAAGTGCCCTGCTGCCAGCAGGCAGCCCAGGAGGAGATGGGGGGTGGCTCTCCAGGGGGGCCAGCTTTGTGGGGCTCTGGAGGGAGACCTCATGTCTCTGGAGAAGTTGCCTCAGAAGCCACATCTGGGAAATGGGTTCTTCCTGCCCAGGGAGGAGGACATGAAAAGAAGACTTCCCTTCACCTTTCTTCCGAAGCTGCCACCCTCAAAAGGTTCAAGTGCTGGACGGCTCCTTGGAACACCGAGGTGGCTGAGACCCACCCCGAGGCGCCTCGGAAGAGAGGTTTGGCTGACTGCCTCCGAGCGGTCACAGCCCGAGGACCCGCCGCAGCGGTTCCACTCTGCACATGCGGGGAACCGGCATGGTGACAGCCAGCACCCAATGTGTGTGTGTGTGTGTGTGTGTTGTTTGACTGCTACAGTACTTCTCTGCAGAGGGCAGCGTAGCTATGGACTCCTCTGGAGGTATCACACAACATCTCTTGCCTCTAGTTTCCTGTCTGAACCACAGTTGTGCTTGTCCAGCGCTCCTTAGGGCAGGGCCGGAGTGGGGTGGGGCGCAGGAAAGACTTCTGGGAGGAGGTACCTGAAAGCAGGTGTCAGGCCGGCAGGAGGGGACAGGGCCCCCGAGGCTGGCTTGTTGGGAGGACACACCCTGTGTCCATGTCAATGGCTACCTTTGCTACCTCCCTTGGGGCCGATGGAGCCATAGAGTGTGACTTACACAGTGGAAGCTGGGCAAGATAGATTGTTCCCGCCCACATCCTGGTGAAGGGCCCCCCGATAGCCCCTGTTGACCCTGGGTCACCCCACTGCCTCTGTCCAGTGGCCAGGGAGAAAATCGTTAATGGGAAGCTGGCTCCGGGCCAGGGCAGCTCCCCTCAGGGGCCTGGGGTTAGGAGATTGGTTTGACCTCTGGTCGATAGGGCCTCCTGTAGCAGGAGGAGAGGAGTGGGCAGGGAGGGGCACTGGGGAGCCCTGGGGGGAGGGGAAAGGCCAAGCAGCCTCCGGAATTCATTCCAGGGAAGGCAAGCACTTGAGTGTGTGTGTGTGTGATGGGGTGGGCGTGGGCAGTGGTTTCCAGGACGTAGGTGGATCCTAAGCTGTGATTGGGAATGGGGGCTGGCTTTGGGGGGTGATCGAAGTCAAGCCCACTCTGCTCTTCTGAGCGAGGTGGTCCAGTGGTGGACTGGACTTGTCTGAGCCTTAGTTTCTGTTTATGCCAAGGGAAGGTGTCCAGTGTCCCTGTGCTGCAGGGTCGTTGGAAGATCAAAGCACACCGACGTCCCAAACTGGCTCTCGGAGTGTGGGGCTGTGATCCGCCTGGTGTTCTTGCAGCTGTGGGGCTGGCTCAAGATAGGCGGCCCGAGGTGCGCAGCGTGGAGGGGAGCACCCTGGGGTGTTCAGAGATTGCTGAGCCTTTCTTCTGAGGCATCCTGGCTGGGTTCGAGGTGCCAGCCTTGCAGCTAGTAGTCAGGCGCATCACCATTGGCACACCACTCCAGGATGCCCTGCCAACTTCTGCAAGAGGTGCTCTCCCAGGGCGGCCACAGTTAGCCCTCCCGCGTGCTTACTCAGTGCCAGTCGCTGTGCTAAGCACCTCAGACATTCTTCCACACACTGAATCTGCCCAACACCCCTCGAGGGAGCTGTCACCGCCGTTCCTTAGAGGTCTGGACGCCGAGTGACCTCAGAGCTTGCCTGCCTTCCCTTAGCCAGGGAGCGGTACTCGGCCTTGAACTGGGCTCGGCCTCCTCGTGGTCACAGTCTTTTTCATCCGTGGTGCATGTGGGGGCCAGCAAGGGGGCCTGTAAGGCCCAGCTTGGGCCCAAGGGTTGCCTGCCGGCATGGTGCACAGGCTTGGGGCCACAGCCACCTGGGTTGAACTCTGCCACAGCCCACTCTGGCTTTCCTCCCTGTACTATGGGAAGATACATCCACCCAAAGAGTTATTGCAAAGGTAAACGGACAAGTTGAAGTCCCCTTGGGGTACAGACAGAGGCGCAGGGTTGTGCAGGTCAGCCTGGGGTGGCAGAGGCCTTGGTGGGGACGAGGGGGCTCAGCAACTAGGGAAAACATGACCTCTGTCCTTGGAGACCCGCCGGAGCAAGGCTGCTTGCTACCAGTCAGAATTGACTTGATGGCAGTGAGTTTGTTTGGGGGAGCTCACTCTTGAGGGTGGGGCAAAGGTGAGGGCAGCCAAGGTTCTGTGCTCTGCCACAGGCTGGGTGGGGGCTGTGGCAGCATTTCAAGGGGTCCTGATTGGTCCTCCTGTGTGCCCTGTGTTGTGCCAGGGTTTGTGGGCTCACAGAACCTGAACAGTCCTACGGCTCGGATGGAATGAAACAGAGATACAGTTAGCAGGTCACAGGACAGATGACTGCCAGGCCACCAGATGCCCAGTCAGCTTAGGAAGCTTGGAGGTGGGGTGGGGGTACTATCTCAGAAAGCCCACCAGGAGGAAGTGTCTGTCTGAGGAGCTGCTGTCTGAGCAGAGATAGAAGTGAAGCGGGGTGGCCAGAAGGAGTGTGGTGGCCTGGGGAACAGTGAGTGCAAAGGCCCTGCGGCAGGAGTGTGCTTGGAAGGTTCCCGGGCAGAGTAAGGCAGTCTGTGTAATGAGGGGATGGTGGGTGACAGCAGGAGGGGAAAAGCAGCCAGGGGGTTAGGGGTGGGAGGGTGAGGGTCCCATGCAGAGCTTGGTCTCAGTGTGGTGGGAAGTCTGGAGAGGGCTGAGAGGGATCCAGTGGCTGGATCTGAACAGAGGATAGATTACTGGAAGGTCAGTGAGGGGTGGCAGTGGTGGGGTGCTAGTAAGTTCTGTCTAGAGGCAGCGTTTGGGGTGGGGGTGGGGAGACTGGAGAGAGAAGTGCTGGCCCAACCAAAGAAGGCTTCCTGGAGGAAGTGGGCAGGCCAGCGCTAAACCCTGAGGGACCCGGGGATCTCAATGGGGGAGGCAAGGCCTCTTCAGGTGGGAGGTGGGTGGACCTGGGGGTAGCGAGAGGCCCCAGCATTAACCCTTCTGGTGAGAAGTGGTACTGAGTTCCTGCCCGTTCACCCCCAGAATGAGTATGAACCCTAGCAGTGGTTATAGGTGCCCCATCAATCTCCCACCTCCAGGTTGTTTGGGGCGACTTCCGTTCCCATTTGTTCACTTGGCCTTCCCAGCCAGCCTCGGAGGTCATCGGAGCAGGACCCTGTCCCTCCCGCATGCCACGTTTTAGGGGAGTCTGAGGCGGCACGAGCCATGTGCCCACGTCCCTCCAGGAACCTCCCCTCCTTCCTGCTGGCCCTCACTCTGGCGCCTTCTGGGCTTCGGGCAGCTAGCTGGCTCCCCTCGGACCTGTGCACGGAGGGTGCTGTGGGCCCAGACGCTCTCTCTGGGCTGTGTACATGTGTGTGTGTGTGTGTTTGTGTGGGTGGGGGGAAGTCCCAGGGGTTCTGGGTGGCTCACAGACTCCTTTTCCTGCCCAGGTGCTGGTGGCCGAGGAGAACGTGGACTTCCGCATCCATGTGGAGAACCAGACTCGGGCTCGGGACGATGTGAGCCGTAAGCAGCTGCGGCTGTATCAGCTCTACAGCCGGACCAGCGGGAAGCACATCCAGGTCCTGGGCCGCCGGATCAGTGCCCGAGGCGAGGACGGGGACAAGTATGGTATGTGCCCAACTCCTGCCTTCAGGCCCCGCATCCTCTTCCCCGCACACAAACACACACACGTCCCAACTCGGCCACGTCTGGCTGTGGTCGGGCCTCCGTCCATCCCCTGGGTTCTGAGGGGCAGCCAGCCTCGAGGGCCTTGTCCAGAGCAGTCCCCAAAGAGGTGGATGGGGAGTGCTTTGCTGCTGGTGAGCACCCCAGGTGTGGCAGCCATCACCGGTGTCAGGCTGTGGCTGCTGGGACCACCTCCGGCTGCTCTGGGGACTAAGGTTCAGATACTCTGGGTTTGGGGAAAACTCCTAGGTCATGCTTTTGGGTTGCTGGTGTCAGGTGTGATGTATGTAGTGGTGTGTGGGGGGTGGGATGTAGCGTGTCTTGAGGTGCGGTATGTGGTGTGTGTGTGGTGGGGTGATAGGAAGTCATGCAGGGTGTGGTGTGCTGTGTGGTGGGCTGGGCTAGGGGGAGTGTGATGTGGCACGGCATGGCGTGGTGTGGTTTGTGGAGTGTGTGTGTGTGTGTGTGTGTGCGTATGTGTGTGTGTGCGCTATAGGTTGGAGTTGAGTTTGCACACCTGTGAGCCTGGTGATATGGAATGCGCCCCCTGAACCTGCCCTGGCCTGTGGAAGTTCTTCGCCCCCTCTGGGGTGTTTAGAGCCCCTTACTCTCTTGCTGCTTCAGCCATGGAGCCTGGGAGCAGGGAGTCACACTCCCTCTCACCCTCATTTCCCAAGCCCCCAGCCCACAAAGGCCCTTGGTGGGGGCCCCCCTTTCTGAGCATTGGGGCTCGGCAGCACAGACGCAGGGCACGCTCCACTTCCAGGCTACTGAGTCCACATGGCAGGGTAGGAGAAGCAGGGCTGCGCCCTGGGAGGCCCTCGGTCTCCATCTCTTAACTTGCGCTGGGAAAGCACCTGCTGCCAGCCCATCTCTCAGGCCACGTCTGGGGAGCTGCGCATGGGGGTCCTGTGGGCAGTGGCTGAGCCTGCCAGCCTGGGCCCCTCTGTGTCAGTGCCCCTGCTGCCCGTCGGCCCCTGCCCACTGCAGTCGGGACGTGACAACAAGACAAATAATTTTTCGGACCTTTTATCTTGGACACCATTTATTTCCCCTCAGCCCCGGGGCAGGGCTGACCTCATGGTAGGGCCCGAGTGTGGCAGCTGCACTGCCACTGGGGGTGGGCTGGGCCAGGCCGGTCAGGCAGGGCTGGGCTGGCGTGGCTAAGGCATCTCCAGGCCAGCTGCCTCCTCTCTTCTCCCTGCCCCGCTCTCTCCTTACTATCCCCCTACCCCTCCCTTTAGCTTTCTCTCTTCCTCTCTTTGCTGGCTGGTTCCCCTCTTTGCTGGTCCCCCCTCTTTGTTCCTGCCCGTCCCTCATTGACCCCCTCTGTATCAACCCTGTCCTCCTGGCCCCGGCCCAGCCCCCTCCTTCAGACCACAGTCTCTCCTCTCCTCCTCATCTCTCCCAGGCCCTCTGCTGGTCCCTCTCTGGGGCCTCCTGTGGCTCCGTGCCCCCCTCCCCTGACGCCCGGCTGTGCTGGGCAGACCCAGGTGGCTGTTTTCCCTGGGAGCTGCTGTCCAGTTGCTGCTCGGGAAGGGGCAGCTGGCTGGTCGGCCGGGCGGGAGGTGCCCTCCTGGGGAGCCAGAGCGCTGGCTGGCCCCTCCAGGCTGGGAGAGTACAGGGGGGTCAGACTCTGGTGGGAACCATCTGTCCATGCCCTGAGACAGGAGGCAGGAGTGCAGGAAAGAGGGGAACCGGGATGCTGCCAGCCTCCCATCTTCTGCTGAGCTCTGTGTGACCCAGGGCAAGCCCTTTGCCTGCTCTGGGCTCTCAGGCTCCCTGCAAGAGGAGCCCTGCTTCCTGCTTCTTAAAGTGCTAACTTGCCCCTACATCACCCCAGGATCTTGTTAAAATGCAGACTCTGGATTCGGAAGGTCTGGGGTGGGGCCTGAGTGACTGCATTTCTGACAAGCCCCTCAGGACCACTCTAAGAGGGTCTGGGAGGTGCGTGGGTTTTGTGGGCCCGGCCGTTCATGGCTTCTCTTCCAGAGCTGCAAACCCTATGGGTTCGTGACCTTCCTTCAAGGGATATTTGGATATTTTCCTGCACGCTGCCACGCCCCCCAGCACCCAGGGCCTCGGTCTGAGCAGGCTGCTGCTGGTCTCTTGATAGGGCGCATTAGGGACGCAGATGCGGCGCAGGGGCCCCATCTGGGAGCCCGGGGAGAGGCGCGGAGACAATGGAGCCAGTGGAGGCTCCCAATCTAGATAATCAATACAAATATTATTGGGAGGGTGATTTATGTGGCCAGGCTGGGCCAGGAGGCCGGGCTGCTGCTCCATGGATCTGCATGAGGGGGTCTGTCCAGTCGCTGGGGGAGGGGCAGGCCTGTCCGGGCTCAGGCCAGGGCCAGGACAGTCCACCAACTTGCTCCTTCCTCCTGCTCAGAGCTCAGTTCAGCCAGAAGAGTCGTGCCATTGGGCACTTTTTCACACACACACACACACACACACACACACTACTTAGCTAGAGTCAGGTCATTTTGTAGTGTGCCTTCTCAGAATTCCCAACAAACATCCAGTGTGAACAGGCTTCCCATAGGCCTTGACTCAGACTTCCTTGCGAGGCCAAGTTTCAGGTGCTTATGACTAGCCCGTGCCCACAGGAGGTGCTGGGCGGGGCCTGGGAGGGCTGGAGGGCAGGCCCCACTCGGTCTGGGCGCTCTGTGGTGGTGCGTGGTTGTCCTTTGGTGAAGTTTGCATGACCGCTGCTGGGGCTTCCATGCCTGGTGATTCTCCAACGGGGTCTCCCGGTGGCCCCGGAGCACTGTGGGAGACCCAAGCACGGACCACTCCAGGAAGAGAGGACAGGCTTAGTTTGGAACTGCTTGGCCGGTGCTTTGCAGTCTGTGGGGAAGGCAGAGCGAGCCTGCGCATTGGGGCTTGCATTTGGCCCTCTGCTTCCTGCTTTTCTCCAGTCACCCTGTCCTGCAGGCCTCCTGGCAGAGGGACACCTGGTTTCACCTGCCACTCTGCCTCTGAGAAACCTGTGGTCCCTGGGCTAAGTGTCTTTGGCTATGGGTTCAGTTTCTCCACCAAGTGGGTGGGAGCAGGCCCCATGACACTTGCCCTCAGGTTGCTGTCCCTAAGCCCAGGTTGGTAGGTGCCCATTGCTCCTGGCCGCAGGAAGCGGAGTAGCCGGGGAGTGGGTAACTCCAGCTGGGGATGGAGAGCTCAGGACAGTTGCGTGCAGACTTAGGAAGTGGCAGGGATCCCAGCACAAAGGCTTACGTTGGAGAGCTCCCTCTGATCTCACTGCACAAGGGGATTTCTTCGGACAAAAAGTACATATGAACACATTTTGTGGGAGTTCAGCCTCCCAGGGATGAGGAGGCCAGGGAAGGGGCTGACCCTGGTGGGGAGGCACTGACGGGAAGGGTTGAATGTGTGGACTGGAATCTGATGGGGTTTGATTCTTAGCTTCAGCACTTTCCAGCTGGGAGATCTTGGATCTGTGAGCTACCCTTTGTGAAATTATTTCCTCGTTTATGAAATGGGCTAATTGAAATGAGATAACTTACGCCACAAGATACTACTATTAAAACGGGAATATGAGCACCAGTTACCACCTGTACTCATTTCTGTGAGCGGCTAGGGGTGGGCTCACCTTCCTGGGCTCAGGCTGAGTCTCTGCTCCTAGGCTCCCAGGAAGGATCCTGGAGAAGGGGTGCTGCCAATTCCCACTGGGGGTCCCTGGAATGCCAGGCAGGCAAAAGAGGATCAGTTAGCTGGATTCTAGGCTGTAAGGTCTGGCTAACCATGTCCCAGGCCAGTTGAGGAAGGGACCCTCTTGCTGGGTATGGGTCAGTCTTGAAGTCCCTCATTCAGGAACTAATTCCTGAGCAAGGAGTGTACTGGGCATCAGACATCGCTAGCTTAGCCTCCCCCCCCCCCCCCTCCCAGGGTGCTCTCAGCCTGGGCCCCCTGCTCCTCCAGTTTGAGTGGGAAGAGCCTGGGCCTCTAGGCTGCTCCATGACATGGCACGCTCCCTCCCTGGGCACTTGTCTAACAGGGACAGAGGGATACATGGTCTCTGTAGGCATTCTCCATCTCAGGCCTGGTGGCCATCAGTCTGTCCAGCCCATCTCCACTCAGGCATGGCTCCCTCAAGCAGCCTTCTGGAGTCTCTTGGGTGGGGGTTGTGTACCAAGACCCCTGTTTGTCCTTGTCTCAGAGAAGACCCTGGTGATGCGGAAGCTTCCATTAATGTCTCTGGCTCCCCTCTGAGATCTGAGCCCCCAGGTCCAGCTCAGGGGAAGTGGGTAGAGAGAGCAAGCCCCTGGCGGAGAGCAAGCCCCTAAAGGAAGCAGGATGAAGGAGTACAGTGGGTGTGGGGCTGACTTGTATGGCTCACACAGGAAGGGGGCGCATGGAGGGTGAGGGTGGGAGGGCTCCCCTTGTATCCATTTACCCCACTCTGGGACCCAGCAAAGAGCCAAGCCCTTGGGCTGATTGGTAGGGCTCCAAGCCCAGGGCTGAGGCCACAGCGACCCCTTCTCTGAGTCTGAGACCCGCAGGTCCTTTCCTACCATGGGAGGCCATGCCACTACTCTGCTCAGAGGCACCCCTCGCATGCAGAACCCAATCTAAGCCCGTGAATCAGCTGCAAGGCCCAGCGCTGCCTGCCCCTGGACTCATGCTCCAGCCAAGGCCTCCTGTCGCTGCTGCTCTGAAACACACCAAGCAAGCCTCCAGTGAAGGGTCTCTGAGTTGGCTGTTCCCCAGCCCGAGAATGCTCTTCTCCAGCCCCTGTTTCCCCTCACCCTGGCTTCTGTGCGATTGTCCCCCGATCAGAGCGGCCCCTGCCGCTGCCCCACTCAGGTATGGTTTCACTCCAAGGCTCCTCAGCACCTGGCATTTGGCTGTGCATGCAGTCTCCTGCTGCAACTATCATAGACTCCTTGAAGGGAGGGTTGATTGCCATGTCTCATTCACGGCTG